CCTGGGTCGCAGCCTCGTCCACTCAGCATGGAGCGATCTGGTGGATCTGTCCGAATCCTTGCCTTGCATTGTCGAGAAGTGTCTCTACCGCCGTCACTCGCACGTTTCTTGCTGCTATCCACATATTTCTTCCATGTTTCGAACAGGACCAGCCTGTCCAGCTCGTCCTTTCGGGCGACTGATGAGAACAACACACTGACGCGCCTGGGCCATACATGATCCCTCCAGTTGTGAAACAAACTTTCCATCGCGATCGCGACCGAGTCGCTACAGTTTTCCCCCTTTGGCACCAGACGAGGCTCACCCTGCCCGAAAGCCCGAATGGCCTCTTCTCGACCTCCCAACGAACATGACGTATGAGACATGTCTGAACGCTGAGCGTGCGGACAGGCGGCCAGCGAGCGACCGGCCCTGTCGAGGCCAGTCGAGACCAGGCACGAACCATACCAGACTCCCGCCATGTCTGATTTTGGATTTGCACTTGTCGTCGGCCCCTTAGCAGACCTGAACGCTTGGACGCCAGAAATCGTCTCAAGGCTAAGTCATAGTCCAGCGACAAACCCTCGCGGAAGAGGACTCAAAGGTGGGGAGCAGGAAAAACAAGAGCATTCATCACGATCCTGGGGCCGGACCTGCCGTCGCCCTGTCGCTTTGTCGCGTCCTCACACCACTTTGGCCGGATCCGGCTCTTGGGTACGAGGATTGGCTCGGCGAACCAGCTGACGGACCTGGCATTTTGCCCAGCTCTATCGCCTGGCTCTGTTCTGTAGCCTCCAGGCAACTCATCCTCTTGCGGCAACGCGGTTGGCCAGTCTGTCTCTCTCTGGCTCGTGGTGTCGCACCTTCGCATCGGGTGTGCATCTCCAAGCAAAAGTCATCAGTCAAGGCGCCTTGCGTGGTAAGGGCGAGGCTCGTCAGCTTCAGAGCGAGCCATGGCGATGTCCACCCACCCACCCTCTCGGAACAGGCTGGTGTTGCGGGCTGTCCTTGGAGCCATCACTATTGTGCCTTCGGCCTTTGAGTTCACTTGGCCTCTCGACCACTCACACGCTACAAGTGGCCGCCCGCCAACCTCGAGCGTCGCCCATGATGCGGCGGTGAGTAATAGACACACCGCCGAGCCACGGCCTAAGGCGTTCCTAGACACCTAGCGCGCCCGACCTTCCGGTAAAGCTGGTGTCGCAGCTGGACAGGCTCGTCCGTGGGGTGGGTGGAGGGAGTGCGTAGCGTGCGTGATGAGTACGAGTCGTTCGTGTTCTTGTTTCCGTTTCTGTTCCTGCTGACGTGCCATGCACACCCTGCAAGGCACCGCGTTCCTCGCTTCACCCCCCTGTCCTTGTGCTGAACCTTGGATCTATCGAGCTAGGCTCCTTGCAGCGCGATCATCAGGGACCCTCCCCTGCTCGGTGTCTCTCTTGCTAGTTTGCCTCCTCCAAGCCTCTTCCCCGCTCAAGGACCCGCCGTGCAAGGCAGGGCCGTCAATGTGAGCGGAAGCCTGGCAGGCTGCCAGGTCCTGGTCCTGGTCCTGCTCCGATGAGGCCTGCTTTATTAATATGTATGCCATCCCACCGTCACCTCAAGAGATTGATACACCATCTATCACTTATATCCGGCAGTGAGATCTCTCAGTTCTCGCCCTTCACACTCGCTACGACCTTGACATACACACACATGCGTCGATAACCTCACCAGACATACATCATAGCAACCGTCCCAACACAACGGGACTTGACATACTCGACATCTACGTCATGTCGCCATCATCACCACAACGGCCCTCGGCCGAGATCTTCCACCAGAGGAAGCCAAGCCTCTCCAACTCGGTCTCCAGCGCCTCTTCCACATGCACATCCTGCTCTCTCACATCTTCGGCCTCGAAGCGAAGCCACCGAAGAACACAGGTCATTGACTTTGACCCCCTCAGCATGCACCCTACCTTCATCGCACCACCACTGCCTCTCGACGAGCGACCCTACATTCTTCCGGAGCACCACAACAGCTCCGAGGAGGAGGTCATCGAGGAGTACATCCGTGCCGAGGCGTCCTCCAAGACGGTATCCGTCCCCGACGATTCGCCCACACCTATGCAGCCCACAAACGAGTTGAGGCAGCAGGCCCAACCCGAGGGCGATGACTACTTCATGTACAAGCTCAACCTTCTTCAACACCAAGAACGTCAGCAGCTTGATGCCATGGCGAACGCCACTGCCTCCCAACTGTCACCGCAAGCACGGTCGCGCTGGTCCGAGTCGACCATTGCGTCGATCGACATGGCTGAGAGCCCTCAGATCAGCGTCTTTGAGGAGTCGGACGACGAGGAGGATGAGGACGATGACGAAGTCGATATGTCTGACTTTGAGCTCGTCGCACCTGCAGAGCGCGAGGTCCGCCAGGCCAAGAGCTGGCACAACTTCAGCCACAAGACCTCCCTGTCCAACCCTAGGCGGCCGCCTATCCAGACCATGGATTCCGTTGAGAACTTCATCAAGCGCGGCGGCTGGAAGAGGAGAGGCATTGTCTTCCAGGAGCAGGGCATCCGGCACTCTGACGGCGGCCTTTTCTGAGGCGGCCTCAGTCACTCAACCCCAACACTCATTCTTATCATTACACACAAGCCAACAACACTACCAACTACACCACACACAACATGATCATTCAACCACATTTTCATTATCAGTCAACGGACCGGAGCGATTCTATTACTACATGTCTCTCTCACGGCCTCACACGCATACCCAATTTGGAGTTTTATTTCCTTAACTTGTCAACGGCGACTTCACTGTACTCTATTTTATGGTGGGGAATTATCTGGGCTCGGGGGATACAAAGGGATGGAAGGGGAAACAACCCCCCATCAATCATATTAGAGATGGGAGATACCACCCCCTTACACACACACACAAAAGCAGGCAACTGTTTTCGGGAAGGAAATGCGACGATACTCGGGACAACCCTACAATTCTTGTAATTTAGTTTATTCCTTCGCCATGAAGGCTGGCTGGGGCCGATACCCAAGATGCAAACTCCTGTGGAGCTAGGCATCTTGGACGAATTCACATCAAGGGTCTTCAGATTGAACACCTTATTCAACATACCTACCTTTTCTCCTCACCGCTTTGCATCGTGACATGGGGACATGGGAAGGGGGGCTGAAACCTTCTGTTATGCACGAAGAGAAGGTGGGGGCAAAAGGGTTGGCGAGAAGAAATGCCTCTCGATAGTGTGTACCGCAATCTCACGATGGCCTCACCGACAATTTCTCTCTCTCTCTGTCTCTCCGTCTCTCTCTCTCTCCCCTCGCCGCCAACGCACGACTCGGCTAGCTCCCTACCCACCACCTCGTCTCGGCCGGGAATCGAAAAGGCGGCGGGGCGGGGCGCCCATGGGCTAGCGGCGCATTATTCGCAGGCTGCTGCAAGTGCTTCTGCGTGCACGGCCCCGCCCTCAGGTACGGGGAGCTCACCTGACCCTACAAAGCAAAGCCAAGTGTGTGCGTGTGAGTGTGCTGCTCTGTTGCACGATGGTTTACTGTAATCTCCCAACGCCGCCCTTCTCAGCTCTGCAGTGGTGTCTCTCTTCTTTTCGCGGTCATCTTTGCTTTTTCTTTCCCCATGTCCCCCGTCTCCCGATCTTTCTCGCCTATTGATCAGCTGGCCTGCTCCTTCTGCCCCGCCCCCCTGTCTATACACCCTCGATTCAACGCGACGGCCAGATTTTCGGATCGGTGGCTGTCCGAAGTGATGGGGTTTACATTCGGTTTTGAGGCGTTCACGTATTTCACTCATTCCAACACCCCTTCCCCCCCCCAAATACCCTGTCGGCTTGGAGAGGTTGACGATTCACTCATTTGGACGAGGTGCGAGGCGCGAAGGAATGGGCCGGGCGAGTACTTTTCTTGTTCGTTCGGATACCGGGTGGCGAGGGAGCGAGCGTGCGGGCGGCCAAGACACTTACTTTTGCGGGAGCTCTTTTCCCTCTGCGCGATGGGTGCAGAGAGCAGAGGAAAGAGAGAGAGAGAGAGAGAGAGAGGAATGGGACACCGTGGAGTTTCCTCTTCGGGATATGGTTTGGTGTGTGCCAAGAAGGCGATTGGACGTTTTGTTCCTCCTTGGCACGCCCATGTGCTTCTTGCTCTCTCTCTCTCTCTCTCTCTCTCTCTCTCGCCGTATTTGGTCTGCCGAGCTCGTTTTGGACTTTTGAGTTCTCACCGCGATTGCCGTTCGATCTCGACGACAAGCCGAGGATGCGACGCCAAGGAGGGGTCATGAAGACATACAGACAGAGTGTGTGTGGCTTTCATGCATCTTCCAAGGGCGGTGGCATCTTTTTCGCTGCCAGTGAAGTGGATGGGTCGGCCCGTCTCATTTTGGAGGGGACGCTCCCGTGAAGATGGCCTAGGGTGGGCAAAGGCTGGTGTGCTGATGCAGGCACGAAAAGCAGGTACAGGCAGGGCCCCCCTCTCTGTCGAGCTGTCTTGGCTGGGTTCGCATCGGGCCGATCGCTGGTGGGTATCAACCTGCAACAGCCTGTGGTTGGGTGCGAATTGGGCGAGAAGTGCAGGGGGTCCGTTAAAGTGCAACCAGCTGCCAGAGGAGAGTCTATCAACCTGGCACAGCTTGTGTTGGGTGCGAATTGGCGAGAAGTGCAGGGGGTCGTTAAAGTGCAACCAGCTGCCGAGAGGTGTCTTTCGGGGCGGGGTGGAAAAAAGAAGGCACCAGGGGGGGAGAAGGTACAGGGGGGGAAGAGGCAGGAGGGACCACGTGGATGCTGGAGTTTTTGTCATGACGACATGATTGTGTGGCCATTGTATGTATGAGTTTCCAGCTATTGGAATTGTTCTGCATCTGATTGATCATGGGGGGTTGCTATCTCCGCCAAAGTTCGTGATGGTTGCATGCACCAGTAGCATCCAACACTGGTTAGCATCGTTGACTGCCTTCACCACTCACCATCGGCTTCATACCATCGTGCCCTCACGCCCCTCCGGTGCCTCCATCCCGCGAACTGCGCCGACCTCTCCGAATACGGCCGCTGTCACACGATGAAGATGCGACACATTACATGGGACGATATTCTTCCGTTCAAGCCGTGTCGGGTTTCCCCCAGACAACCACACACACACACTCTCTCCCTCTCTCTCTCTCACACACACACACACACGCATATACACACTGCAGCGGCACGGACACGCCATCAACCCGGCTGTGCAGCCCAAGGGACGAGCGCCCCGATTCTGTACCTGGTACCTGACATGGTGGCCCGACTGACGCATTCTGCCGCGCGTGCACCAACAGGCAGACCTGAGCACCGACAGCTTGGGTGGACATGGGACGTCGACAGCCCAGCGAGGTTTGCTTGCAGCTGAGCTGTTGCTGCCGGTGTTGCCCAACCGTCAAGCGTGGGCAGGTTGATGCTCACTGCTAAAATGAATATGAATCAGCAACCAGCTCGCCTAGGAACCTCAACATGGAGATGCAGCACTCAACCACTCGGCTGACCGACCAGGGGGCAGGGGTGCTCACGATGCTGCAAGGGGGGAAGGGGGGGCGCCTCAGCAGCCCGATCGGGGCGTCCGTCTTTTCTTCGTCTGCATTGCCCTGCCACCGCTGTTGCTACCGCATCGTCATTTGACCTGTGCAGCTCCCTCGGCCCCGGTGAATAAGCTCATCTCAGGACGAGAGAACGAGCACCAACAACTGCGCTCCTCGTATCCCCGAACAGAAACAGGCTCCCCCCTGCCGTGCCCTGTGACCTCGTGTCATGTCGCGAACGCTGTTTGCAACGACAGAAAAAGGCTGCGCACAGTCCTCTCGGGTGGTCCCCCTTGGCGCGCGAAAACGGCGGCACCCGCTTATTTAGCGAGAGCTAACTATTCATAGTCCAGCGAGTCGGTGGATTGGTCGTGAGTACGAGGGGTGGGGGCCAGCGTCGCTTCACCGTTCATCGCTTGCCTCGACGATCCCATCGTCTACTCAGTCGTCGCTGACATTCTTCGCCACGGTGATGGAGACGTCGCAAATTAGGGGTCCAGTGTCTACCCGGGGACGAACCCTGCTCAGCTGCTTGCTGGGTTGAGGGATGCTATTTATTCCCGTTCGCATTCGTTTTAGTCGCGGTCCAAGTGGAGGTGACCGTTGAAGCTATTGAGAACGAAGAGAAAAAAAACATTCTCTGGCGTTGGGTTAGATTGTGTTTCGTTTCCTCGGTCTCGAGATTCCAAGGACTCCCCTTCTTCACCTGGGTTGCCCTTTTGTGGACTGCTGGGGTGGCACGTTCCCTTCCTTTTTTTCTCTCTGCTTGGACCCTTGTGGGGACTCAACGACCCGAATGAGCAACACGGTCGATTGTGGGGTATGACGACATGCCAATTTGGGCTTCTCCTCCTTGCCTTGAACTCTCTTGATGGCCCAAATATGTCTTGCAGACATGATGAGGCTGAGAAGGCGTCGAACGTTGAATCGTTTCGCCGCGCACCGGCTCAGCGGTGCTGCATGTGGAGATCTTGGCTGTCGCCCGTGCATCTTCGTATCTTCGTCGACCCAGATTGTGGACTGGTGCCTACCAAGCCCTAGGTTTCGAACCGTGGAATGCAACCAGGCGTTTGCGTACACGAGGCTTTGACAGAGTTTATTATTGACACAAGTGTGCATGGCTCTGTGCCATCGAACATGCGATGTTGCCTTGGCAGGGAGCGGGTTCGAGCTGCGTTATACTTATTGGAGCAAGTGATACGATCAGAGTGTGCGACCTCACAATGTTACGGAGAGACATGAAACAATTTCACATATCTCATGTTGCAAGTGGTCGGTGCTGAGTGTCGTAATGAGTTCCATCTCGGGGCTGGATCTGCCTGTAATCCTGTTCAAGCGATTCAACCCATGGACAACTTTTCCGTTGGGCTCTGTTCGACGATAAGCGTTGAGTTCGTACGGCAGATGGTTGTATAGCCTGTGTGCGTCATGAAGCTTTCATGATATATCTAACAGAACACATGTTCTCTGTAGACATGGCTCCATGGCTGACATCGTTCAGAAAGCGAAACCGTAAAGGTCGGACGACTCATCCTAAGCTGGGGTCAGCCAGCGCGGAGCGACTACCTGCCAAGATGACTTTGTGTACTTTCCTGTCAGTCCTGGCCAGGTCAACCGGTCACTGCTTGGGCAGCCTGGAGAGGCTTTTGTCGGGTAGCTGCTCCCCTGGCGTGTTTTCTGATGTAACCATCGCAGAGACCATATTGAATGGTGATAGAGTGCCTAGACTGCTATCTGATGGCTTTGGTAGGGGATGAGGAGGTTTCTTCGGCTGTCAGCATGCCAAAAGCGGACAAGATGAGTTGGGACATTGAACCATGAGACTTGAGTTCTTTGGACGGACGACTTGGTTCTTACAGGATGTGAAGCTGAATATGATTCAAGCTGCGGAGGGCGAAGTGGGTTCGTAACCGGTCAAGGGCACGTCATCATCACACAGTTAGGACGTGCAATTCAGGCGAGTCACGGCTTTTGGGGGAAACCCAAGAGGGTTCACCGAATGGACTTCCTCACAGGTAGCTCGAGCATCACAGCTTAGTACCAGGAAACCCATCGGTATTGTGAGATGATTTATCAGCAGATTTCAGGCGCTGCTCCGGATATAGGGACTTGTGGGAAGAGAAGATATAACTGGAACA